CCTTGCGTGGCTGCAGCATATGCCCTCTTTCTTACTCCTGAGATCCAAAGATCTCCTGTGCACAAGGCTCATCTTCACACTTGCTTTTGTGCTTTGCAGTGCTTGGTTCCTGATGCCTGGTCTCTGAGAGCTGCGTCCTGCTTTCCCCTGACATACGTAATTCCAGTCCCTTCAGGGCTGCCCATCTGTTTCAGCGTGTGCTGTCTCCAGCCAATGTATTCTGCTCAGGTGGTGTGCCTAAGCTCTCCACAGCTGCTTGCTCCTGTTGGCCCTCACACACCGATGCTTTTATTCAGACATTTCTTATGTACTGTCAGTGCTTCTCTAGAGCAACTGCTTTGTGCTCTGACTTCTGCCTAATGTCACCTTCTGGACCCTGTCTTGGCAGTTTTGAAGAATGTATGGCTCCCATTCATCCCTGGTGCATGTGAGGTTAATGCAAAGAGGCACCAGATTCCCAGTGTAGGCTGCTTTCATTCCCTGCCTGCAGCTGACTAGACTCCAGCTGCATTTACCCTGTTGGAGTGTTAATTATATGGCACTGTCTGAGGAGGGTGTAGGCTCTCCTGTCAAGCTGGACCTGGGGCAGATGGGCAGCCCTCTGAACCCAGCCCCACGACACGCACAGTATCTTGTCCTCCCCAATGCCCTCCCTCTTGCTCATCCTGTTGTTTTCTGCAACTCAGTTACTACTGTGAGCACCATGGGCATCCCGGCATGAAATTAATTATTTCACTGCGTGCAAAATGTCATACCTAATCAGGAGAACCCACAAAACAATGGAGGCTCATAGAAGAAAGGGTGAGGGAAGGGTGGGAAAAGCCTCTTGTGCTGGACCACCAGTAGTGAAACAGCTGGAATGCTATTGTGCCCAGTCTATAAAGAGGGCACAGCAGATCTTTTTAATCACAGCCTGTCTGGATGAATGTCAGCAAGGGGCAAAAACAGCTGACTGTTTTTATTAAGATGACCAGCAGAAATAGGGCAGATCCTGTCATGGGAGGGTGCAGGGTGCAGTAGCCTAGAGCTGGTCGTGGGCAACTGAATCGGGTTTGAGGAACTGCGTCCCTCTGGGGAAAAAGCCTGGTGGCCTTCAGCTTTGCTCTACTGTCCCTGTATGACAGGTTTCCTGCATTCTCACAGACCCCAGGGACTCTCCTGTCCCTCCCTGGGTCTCTCTTAGCACATTGTCACAAAAGGAATTATTTGGAGCTGTAGTTGAATATAGCTCCAGTGCTCCTCCTGCCAAATGTAGCATGCTTCCCGACCCTAATCTTGCATGTCCTTTCTGTCTGTTGGCTGGAAAGCAGTGTGCAGGCAGGCTGAAGTAACCTGGTGTCCAAGGGAGTCCTCTCTTTAGGTTTAACTAGTCACACCTGCCAGTGCTGTTCTGCACACAAATGTGTGGTATACAGGCTTTGAAAAGGACACTGTTTACAGGAAGTTCACGGCCATGGGGGCATGGGCTGGGAAAGACAGGCGTAAGTATGCAAATGAGCATGAAAGCGAGCATCCAGTCTGTTCAGAAAGCAAGGACTGTAGCATCTGTCCAAAGTTTACTGGGAGGAGACTACAGCTTCTGCACATTTCTGCTCTAGTTACAGTAGTAGAGTTGGTAGTGTGGATCTTGGAGCCTTTCTCAACAGACTCATTCAGGAATTGCCATGGAGGTGCTTTTGTGCTAACATGACTAATACTTTGTCCCCCTTAGTGGAGTCTGTCCTCATTCCCTTGCTCCTTCCTCAAATGGCTGAAGGCTCTGCCCCCATTCCTGCAAGATGGTCAGGGTAGAGTTGTAATGCTGTGTTTGGCTTCAGCTGTTCTCTGCTTTGTCCCTCATGATGCTTCTGCCTGTGCCTGTGCATTTCTGTAGACTAGACAGAGTTTAATTAAGTCCACCAGGGCCCTACAGCAGGTGCTTACAAGGCAGAGAGACTCCTAGGAGCAGCCAGTAGAACCAGAGAGGCCTAATTCAGTGCAAAGGAAAGGTTCAGGATTCTTGTGTTTTGAGAAACTAGCGCCCCACAGATAAAAACTGTCAGGAAGTAGGATTACTTGTAAGATTGCAGATCTCTGTTAGAAGTGTCAAAACTGGGCAGCAAAGGAGGGAGTATGGGTCAGCTTGCTGTTTTGGACCTTTCCCCAGGAGAGGGAGGGGACAAGACTCATAGAAAAGGCATCAGCTCATGTAATTCTCTTCTGCATTTACAGGTTGCTCCAGTGTGAACAGTGGCTCAGGGCTCTTTGCCCTCTGTACTCTAGATGGTAAGTCCTTCTGCTGGCCTGGGAGAGAGCCCTGTGAGGCAGCCAAGGCCTTTCACTGATTCAAAGAAGGGAAGAGGGGCTCGGTGCTTTTAGTCTTGAAACATGAGGGAATTGGACTTCAGAAATACCTCCTGGATCAGGCAAGATAATTTGGTCTTGAGACTCTGCTGATACCTGTGTAAGCATGAAAGTAAGACACGAGCCAAAGAGTAGGGGTTCTCATGGAGAATGAGGCTTCCTTCAACCAGGTGTGTGATCACTTGCCTGTATCTTAGGATACGATAAATCTTGTGAAGTTGAGCATGTCTTTCTGTTCCTTATTGAATTAAATAGTGTTGCACAAGTTTGTTTCCTCCAGGAAACCTGTGGTGTTTTCTGTTGTTATTAATATCCAGCCGTCTGTCTTCCCCGATGCAGTTCTTTTATCTGTTGATTTCTAAGCATTTTGCAAACATTAATTCCTCTTATGGCCCCATGGCCCTGCAATGAAGAAGTGCATGAAGAAGTTCAGTCATCAGCCCAAAGGCCCACTGCAAGTTTGACATGGAAGGTTAGACTTAGGAACTCGTGTTATTTCCAGAAGCAGGGAAGGACATGGATCCTGGACTCTGCATGTTCAGTCAGGAACTGGCCTTGCTCAGGCCTGGGAGCCAGCTTCTCCAAACTAGTACAGGGATTCTGTCCAAAACCCCATTGTATGACAGCAAGATACTGTGCTTCTGTATACCCAAGTAGGCAGCCTGGCAGATTGTGTCTGGAAGGCCACTTTATGACCTCCAGCTTCACCATAGTTCACACAGGCACACGCTGTGAGGGTGGAGCCACGTTCATCTTCTGAGGTGTGTCATGCCCAGCACTGCCTTGTACTATGGCAGTGCCTCTCTGGCTGATAGTGTGGGCAGAATGGAGTGTGAGGGAAGTGTCCAGTGTAGCTCTAGTCACCCAGAGACATGTCCATGCTGCCAGCCAGCCCATCCTTACCTCCTACCTGCCAATACACCCTCCTGAGATCAGGTGATCGGTGGGACGTGGCAAGGAGTTTCTACTTTGAGTGCTATCTGATGTGAGATCGGCTGGTGTACTGTATTCTGGGAGCCAATTTTGGGCAGGTTTTTTCCTGCCTTGGAGTACAATCTAACTAGCAGGGCTCCTGCAATTTTTCTTCTCAGTCTGCGGTTCCTGCTCTCAAGAAAATGCTGTAAGACGCAGCTTGGGTGACAGGATTCACTACATATGAAGACCCTGAGCGTAGAGGGAGTTTGCAGGCCCCGATGCTAGTGGACATCTTGCTCCTTCTTAATGTTTTTAAAATAATATTTGTTTTTCTCTTTCAGGAACATTGAAACTCATGGAGGGAGCAGATAAGCTTCTCTGGTCTGTGCAGGTTGATCACCAGTTGTTTGCTCTGGAAAAGCTGGATGTTACTGTGAGTGTCTTGTGTTAATGGGGTGGAGGAACAAAAGCTCCAAATGGGTTTGCACCTGAATGCAGGAAGGGCAGAGGGAGTCTCAACTAAAGACTGCTGGGATTGTCCCAGGATGGCATCGAGGAAGCTTTTAACTATCCCAGGGCATTTCATCAGGTTGCAGCCCAGGCATGTGAGGCCATCCATCTGCAAGAGGTTGAGCTGTGTTGCCTGTTTGACCTGGTTGTTTTGCTCACTGCTGTTACACCTGATTGTCTGTAAGCTGTTAGGATCCGTGAGGATTAGAATAGAGAAGAGAAAGATGGCATCAAGTTCTATAAGATATTTTCTTCAGTTAATGTTCTGTTTCTGAGCTCTGCTGAATTTTAGTATGCTTTCAGGGAGAAACTTGGGCCAGAAACCATCCAGACTTTTAGAAAGAAAGCAAGGAGGGGAAGTGACACAAACTTTTCTATGTCAGCAGATATCCTAGAAAAGGTGGTTTGGGCGTTGCTGTCTTGTTTTTATTTATTTATTTTTCTTTACTTTCCTTTTTTTTTTTTCTTTCTTTGTCACAAGTCTTAGGCTGCTTAATAAAGTTAAAGATGAGGGAAAAAAATAAAACAAGGAAAATTTCATATAGCTTGTATGACATGTATGGCATACGCGTGACTTTGGGGGAGAGAAGGTTCAGGGTGCTGAGGGGGATAGAGTATGGGTACATTTGCTGGGAAACTTTTATGTTTTAATGCATTTGGCAGCAACCAATGTTAGACCCAGGGTTCCGTATGATCTGTGGGAAGAAACAGTTGGATTTCGGATTCTGCTCTTCCATATTTTCTACTGTCCTTGCCTCGTTGTGCTCTCACTTTCCAGCCTGTCGCACAGAAGGCCTAGCAGCTTTTCCCAAAGAGAAGAGATTATCTGCCACTGCTGCTACAAGATTACCCATCCCTTTCCCAGGGCTCTGCGCTGAACGCATCTGAAAGCAGTGTGCCAGAATAGAAGCTTTTCCCTCCAAGCAGGGAGGATTCCTGTGTGCCTCTAGGAATGTTTGGAGTGAGTGCTAATCGGGGATGGTACGGTTCTTGCAGGGCAATGGGCGTGAGGAAGTGATTGCATGTGCGTGGGACGGCCAGACCTACATCATCGACCACGATCGGACTGTTGCCAGGTTTCAAGCAGATGAGAACGTCAGCGCCTTCTGTGCAGGTGGGCAGCTGGGCTGCAAAGCCTCACAGCATTTCTCCCTCCACGCTAATGTTCTTCTCTGGGAGACTTGAGGCCCTTGGGATGTCTGCAGTGGGGAATAATTCTCCTGGGGCCTGTATACTGCAGTGTGTCAAGCTAGTCATTCCTCTGATAGCATCTGGAAAAAGGAGTGAGGAAAGAAAGTGATGCTGTGCTATGTCTGTAATGGAGAATAGGGTTCGTTTGATTGTTTTCCTCCTAACCTGTTTGGGAGTGTTCAGGTCATTTTTTGTCTTCACTGTTGCTTTTCAGTTTGCAAACAACTAAGCTGATGCCAGGAGAGATATGGAGCCAGCCTGACCTTTGGGTTTGCTCTCAAACCTGTGAAAAGCAGCATGCAAATTCCCAGGCTCCATGCATTCCTACTACCACTGTAGAGACACTTGCTTGTCAGACTGACAGGCATCTCTTGTGTTATCTCAGAGGGCCTTCCCATATCCAAGCTCATGTCTCTGCAACTCAACCTGGCTGCTCGCAAGAAAGCAAACAGCTTTGGTAGCACATCATGCAAAGCTGCCTATTTGCTTTCTCTTTTTGTTCAGCATCTCCATCCTTTGGCTTTCTCCAGGCCTCTACGCATGCAAAGGAGGAAGCAACAGCCCATGCCTCGTTTATGTCAGCTTCAGTCAGAAGATCTACATTTACTGGGATGTCCAGCTGGAGAGAATGGAGTCCACCAACCTGCTGAAAATCCTGGAGAGTGACCCAGAGTTTGGAGATCTCTTGCAGCAGCTGGGTGTAGGTAAGTGCAGAAAGGGAGCGGGTTATGCAGGGGAAAAAAAAAAAAAAGGTGAGGAATGGTTGTTGGCAGGTGGCATCCCGGGAACTAGAGTTTCATGTACTTCTCAGCAAGGAGACTAATCTGCTACCTGATAAGGATCTCTACCAATCATCTTTCTCTCTTCTTTTTCTAGAAAGAAGTGATATTTCTTCCGTCAAAGATCTGATTCACAAAACACTATATTTTCCTGAGAAACACCAGCAGAACAGCCAGGCACAGTGTCAAGACCTGGCATAGATTCTTCTACCCACCACGCTATCATCTGTTGCCCCTTATCACCTTTCATAGTTTCAGGAAAGCAAGTGCTTGCCTGTTGACTTGAGGAATGGTGCCAAGTTGATTTGTGTAGCTGAGGAAGCTACCAGGGCAGCAAGAGTCCAGGGTTCTGCTCATTGGCCTTCCATTGCCTATTTCCATATTCTCTACTCTCCAAAGTCCTTTTTTGGGTGACTATAGACAAGCCCTGAGGACACAGGGAGAGAAGGCCCAAGCTCAGTCTTGCTTTTGGTCTGTACTTAGAGGTGCTATGGTGATAACTTCAGAGTTCCTTGTGGGCTCATAGCACAGGAGTTGCAGGTTGAGATGTTGAATTGGGCAACAGGAGAGGGGCTTTCCACTTCTGTCCTGTGCAGATGATTTTCTTCAGGAGACCCAGGAATTGTTTGCCTTTGTTCTGGTGCTCCCCTCCTGCCAAGCTGAGTTTCTCACAAGCTGCCTTCTGTTCTGAGGATCTGGGAACATGTGTGAGAACCACAACTTGCACTGCTGACTTGCCATGGGATATGAAAGCTCCAAGGAACCCCAGCTGTACTCAGGAAGCATTGCTTGGCTTGGTTCTCTTGGGCAGAGTGACACCAGAGATGGTTGTGGCTTAGCAAAGTAACTGTAAACTGGGCAATAAAACAAATTTGTCTTAATTGTGGATTGGTATTGCAGTGATAGCTTGTCCATTTCATAAAAAGCAGTGGGAATGTCACACTTCCCTCTTGCTGTAGAAAGTTCCGTGCTCCTTTGAATCCTACATGACTGGTCGGCCAGTGGGGATGCTCCACTTGCTTGTATGCAGAGGATGGAGGAAACCCTGGCTTGTCCAAGATGCTCATCTGCAGAGGCCCAGGCAGGGACTTGGCCATGTGCAGCTGGTGTTCTGCTCTTCCCCATCTCAGCTTGCTGTTGGCCTGTCTTTAGTTATCAGGACAGGAGCAGCACATCCATCTGCTGCATTGCATCTGTTACCTTCTGTCATTTGTGTGATGTCCTGTTGAACAAGCATGATGGATGGAGCTCCCCTTTCACCCATACGATAGCCTGAGAAGGCTGGATCCAAGTCGGGGCAAATATAATTAATTCAGTGACCTCCCTTTAGCAAATGAGAACACTTGAGGATACTGCACTCTGTTCAAGTTTGCTGTGCCGTGCTCTGCAAAACATCCAAGAGCAGCCCTAACATTAGAAGAAGGAGTTTGATATGGAGGAAGGAGGTGTCTGGCTCAGCCAAAAGGTCTGTTGTTGAAGTAGGAAACATGTAGGAGAAGAGCAGGATTTCTGCATACCCCTAACTTTTCTTTGCAGTTTATGTATTTACAAGACAGCCTCTGTCCTCTGTGTTGGATAGTTCTAGGAGTGGAAGCCTGGAGCAGGGAGGTGATGGACATGCTGTGCTGTTATGGTGAGCTGGGGAACAGCATTCTTCTGCTTCCCAGGCCACTAACTGGTGGGAGCTTTTCCATTATAATGGCCTCACTCAGAGGCATCTTTAAATGCTCCCCTGTAAAACTACCTAAGTGCTTTGTCCAGCTAGACCCTTCATTGAAGCTGGAGCTCTGCAAGTACAGTGGTTCTTTGGTAACAGTAGTGATCAGGCTATGGGCAGCTATCAGGCTATGAGAGCAGCAGTGCTTGGACTTTGTCAGCTCTGGAGAGCTGATAGCCTCTCTTGGTGGACTAAAGCAAGGAATCGTGTTGGGGCTTGGAGCCTTGGGAAATTCTGCCAGCTATTTTGATGCTGAGATATAAAGCCACCAGTCCAAGTGGGCATCTACCACATAAAACAGAGCTGCTGGTAGGCTAGTGTGACCCTTTGATTCTTATCAGTCTTGCTCTACTTTCCTGATGAAAATGAGATCTCCTAGGTCTCAGTACATTGGTTTCCTGCTACTTCTAGGTATTTGTTCACCAAAACCTAGAGCTGCTGCTCTGAGAATAGGAACAAGTGATAATTCTCTCCCCTCTCTTCCCAAGAATTTCAGGTGAAACAGCAACAGTTACTATCATTGTCTCCCCTGCTGGAGCCCTGGGGACCCAGCTGAGCTGGGAAGGAGCAAGTATCTCTCACCCTAGGGTGAACACTTAGGCTGCACTGTATTCTGAGATACTTTCTCCCTAACCCTGTCACTCCCTGGTTTAGTCTTACACTTCAGAATGAGTGGAACTGACACCAAGAGGGACCCCAGTGGAGCAAGCTTTAGTAAAGCAGATTTCCTGAAGTCTTGATACAGAAGTCTCAGTTCAGTCTTTCAGCCCGAACACAGCCTGCTGCTCTTTCGCAGCTTTTGGACAGAAGCAGGATGCTTATAGGCAGCATGACATAGAAATGCCTGGAATTTTAGTCCTGGTTTGCACAATCTGGCACATGTCGCGCTGCTTAGAATATGAGCTCTCCAGCTGCTTGTGCCATCAAGTTGGATAGGATTGGAGGGAGCCCTACCACAGCGTGTGACTGCCATGACGCTGTTTAGCATCTTGTTTGCTTTTGGTGGAGTAGGCATTCTTCACAGAAATACTTTCTCTCATCATCTCCTGCTGAGATTTAAGAGCCCCAACAATTGTCTGAAGCATTTTCTTTGTCTGAGGGGTCTGGATGAACTCATCTGGCAGCTGGGCTTCCAGGCTGTTGCAGTTCTGCGGCATTGTAAATCTTTCCTGAGCCCGAGCAGCAAAAGAGAATTGTCTACACTGGTAACAGAACAACTCAATGCTGTCCATGCCCAATGGAAACATTTATTAGCAACACAAGCACAAAGGGGTACAAATGGTGCAAATGACTGGAACTTCTCTATACAAAACAGACTTTGCCACACAGGTCAAAAGATTTCCAAGGAAGAAAGGAAGGTCAAATTGATCCACTGTTAGTGCAAGAGAGATGATAGTTTTCTAGGAACTATCTCTAAAAGAGAAAGGGCAAAAATACATGTGCATTGGGCAGGGCAAGCATAAGGTGTGCAGCCCAGCCCTCTTCTGTTGGCCTGAGGTTAATGCTGCTGTGCTCCATGCAAGCACTAGCATGTTGCACTGTGGAAAGCAGAGCTGAGAAGCTGCTGATTCTACTGAACATCTGATCCCCGAAGCTCTACAGCTCTTGGAACCATTGCAGAGAAAATAGTAGTGCTTCGAGGTTTCTTTCTAACAGTTCTGTTTTGCTTGTAGTACTTAAAGATGCATTTTGCTCCTATCACCCTTAAGCACAAAAAAAAAAAAAAGATGAGAACTGTCCTTGCAAATTATATCATGACTTTTGTACTGCTCCTTGGCCAGAATGTGCCTTCCCGTTTCTTTTCATGCCCTGAACACCAAAGTGGCCATTTCAAGGCTGGCCACTTATAGCACTTCCGCAGGCCGCAATTTTCTGCGGCTTGGACGTCTGCTTAGGGACTGAGCTGATGTGGCTCCTTCTCTGGAGAGGTGGAGTTACTGTTAGAGCTTAATGGTAACTTAATGCCTCTTTATCCTGCACAGCCAACACGCTTCAAGGAGTTGGAAGTAGTAGTCGTTCCTTCCTAGGCAGTAGCAGGTACCCCCTCTGCATCCCGCTCAGCGGCAGGTTAGCAAAGCCACTGGTTGCAGGAAGCTCTCCGGTGGGGCAGGCCTTGTCAGGTGTGTTTCTATGTATGAGGGACTGTGCAGAAAATGAGTCCAACTGAGTTATCCGTGCAGGCATTTGAGGATAAGCAGTTTGCAGCTCTGGCTATGGCATTCAATTTACTAGCAAGTAAATGGAAGGATTTATTTTAGTTTCCTGAGAGACAATAAAACTATTGTCCGTCCCTGCTCTAATTCTTACGAACACTTTGGTAGATGCCATCATTTCCATTACTCTCCAGGTATAGCCTGGCATTTGTTCGTTGAATTTCTTTTAAAGGAGGACTATAAATCTATTTAAGCAGCTCAACAGTCTTCAGTTCTGTAACTCCCCATGAGAGGAGTCAGCCTCTGGCGTAATGGCTGGCAGAAGCTCCTGTTCCTTTCAAAGGCCGTGTGTCCCCCAGGCTTGGCAAGGCAAATGATGTGATTATGGCTTCAGAAAGGTGCATGTTCCTGGGATGGGTTTACTCTTGCACATAGGCCTTGGAAAGGGCCCCAGAAAGTCACTTAGTCAATCTCTCCATCTTAGGGCACGTTCAGCCATACCTGTCTCACGCTGAGCACATACTTGTCCACACTGCTGGAAAGCAGCCCTAGTAGGAGCTGACCAACATGCAGGTTCAGAGACATTCTCCCTAAAACGACAGCATCCTATCGTGCATTTCAAAGGGTTGGGCTACCTTACAAAGAAGGGGGTGAACACACAGACGATGTAGCTGATGTAGCGGTGCCCTGCTTTAGGATGGCAGTTAGTACTAAATTTCCACCCTCCATGTGAAAGCTTTAGCATTTTTTGGTTCTCTAGTGGAAAAGACCTTTGCACAGTTACCTACTCCCACCCCTCCCCCCCAAAAAAAAAATCGGGGGTGACTTGCGGGCACAGAAATCTCATTTAGTCACAGTTTTTTCTGTAAACTCTTGTAAATTCTGACTTCCTGTAAGCCCTATTGCCTGCAATAAAGAATGATGGGTGGTGTTTCAAGCTAACTGTTTCCAACAGGTTTCTCAATGTTCTGGAGGAAGATACTTTACTGAGGGAATTTGGATGTCCAGCCGATGTGGCGGGAGGAGGGTGAAGAACATGGCTCATGCTCTGGAGCTGATTTCACAGTTGCTGTAATAGCTCTCCCACACTTGCTGGAAATACCCCCTCTGTGGCTGAGAAATGGTACAGTCTTCATTCATACATGCAATTATCAAGAGCAAAGAGGAAAGGCTGGCAAAATGTGGCAGAATGTAAGAGAGTATTAGCAATCAGTGTATATGAAACTTTTTAAAAAGATTATCTAAGGAAGGGAAAGACTCCTTTTGGAAAGAGCAAACTTGTTACTTACCAGTGTGGGAGAGTGAATGATTCACTTGGGCGGAGATAAAGAGGATGCCAAAAGGCAGAGAGAGAGAAAGAGGTAGGCAGAGATGGGTATTTCCAGCTGCCATAGGGCATTAATTAATAGAGGAACCTGAACTTTTCATGATATATGAATTGAGGCATAAGAATCACAGAAAGGCTTCAGAAGGACTGGAGGGTGTTCTGAAGATGAGCAAATAAATGGGTGTGCAAAGACTGATGTGTGAGAACAGCCCCTGCTGCATCCAACAGCAGCTCATGTGCAAGCACCTGCAGGGCAGTAAGTGGCTGGCAGCAGTCAAAAGGGAGATGACAACTCAAGTCATGCCAACTTTCTATAGGATCTAATCCAGCATTCCTTAAATGAATGGAAAGATTTCTGTTAGGTTCAGTCTGATTTGGGGAAGATCCTTGATAATTATTTTTTGTTTTTAACAGATCGGGAAGGTTAATAAATAATGAGTTGCAATAGACATGCTATTTGTCAGCTTTAGTTGTTTATCTGCCATAGTTCCCACGCTGTTTTTAGAGGGAAGCAAGCACTGGAAGCTGGATGAGTTGCTGCACACACAAACACAGGAGTAAGTGTCTCATCTAACACCAGCAAGGTTTTTTCAGCAGAGTGACCTAGGTGCCAGGTGGATTCCAGCTGGCGTGCAAGATGTGTCCAGGACAAGTGTGAGCTGTCAGTAAAGACCCCTAGGCTTGCGAAGATCAGATATGCAAGTGATAAAAGTCCAGAAGAGACTACTGGTACTTTATTTGACAAGATCATCAAGAAGCCTGTGGGTGCAGACACAAATGGAGAGAACTGGACTATTTGTGTCATTCAGGAGATGCCTGAAAAGCAATCCACGCAGGAAGAAATAACCAGCTGCACAAGTGGAAGAATGGCTCAGGAGCCAAGCTGCAGATGGCTGGAGAATATGATTATCAAAGCCACCAGTCTGAGACTGCTTTTAGGAGGGGTGAATGCCAGTCACAGCAGCTAATATTAGTGTCACGTATATCAGCCAGGCAGTATCTCCACTGGTTTTATCTGGTGTTAAACTAGAGTCCTGCATCTGGTTTAGGCAAGAATTAAAGAGGAGGCAGGAGGCAGGAAAGCAATCACAAGTATTTTAAGAAACACAGCAGCCACAACGACAGGTTTGATAAGGCAGGAAGACAGCCAACAACATTTATTCCAAGATGACCAGCAAAGTGAGAATATTCTATGGGAGGATAAAGGGATATTGTGGAGAGATTGAACGGAGACTCAGTAGTCATGAGGAAGAGATGTCTTCATTGGGTTTCAAATGTGGTATGGAAAAATTTGTGCTAAATATTATGAAAAATATCAATCTGGATCATTTCCAAGCATGGAGCAAGCTGTCCCAGTGCATCCTTCCTAGAGGTAGCAAAAATAGACTATCATACAGCTATGGATGAAAATGAATATATATATATGTCTCCATCTTATTCAACCCAGATGAGTCCACAGTTCTCTGACCTAAGCTGATACTACAGGAAAGTCTATTTCTCTGGGTTTATGCAGGAGTACCAAAGGAGTACCAAAGGAGTACCAAAGGCTGTGGGATGCCAGGGCTTGAGGCTCGTGATATATTTGTGTCCAATCACCAGATTTCAAGTTGAAAGTAAGGAGCTGGCAGAGCAGAAGACTCTAGGTGCTGTAATTCACTGCAGCATTTAAACTTAGTGGCAGAAACTCAGTTTGATGATGCAGCAAAGGTGATAGGTGAGGTGATAGAAATGCAGGCCCAGCAGCTGGAGTGCAGAGGGGAGAGACCTGGTCAGAAGCCTGGGATGTGCAACTCTGGCTACTATATATAACAAGACATGCTAAGCATTAACATTCACAAAAATATAGCCTAGTAGCAAGGCTGCACTGGCAAACCCGAAGCACTTGTGAGCATTCACTGTACTCTGGGCATCTAGGCTTAGCATTTCTACAAAGGTTTCTTAGAATTAAGAACTCTGACATTGCTCTTGCTGCAGTTTTTCCAAGAAAATCCTTCTGTTGTGCTCTGAGCCAGCAAGCGGACATGAAATCCAGCTTCCCAGCATGCAGGTGAGGAGACTGGCCACAGGCTTCTTCCTGCAAAGCAGGGGGAATGGAGTCCTCTCATCCAGGTAGAGAGGAAAGGGGAGCATTCATAGCAATCTCGGAGAGCACCACCTCCCTGGCCACGGCACGACTGGAGATTATTCAAAGTGACTCTCTCTTGTCATGATTGTTCAAAATGACTCACTCTTGTCATGAATAGAGTGCTTTGTAAAAAGAGTTATTAAAAGGATAGGGTGAATTTACATAAATTTGAGGGATGAGGGACAGAAAAACAACAATAAAGAGCCATAAAGTGCCATGGGGACAAGCAGGAGGGTTCACTGAAAGAGGGGAGCTCTCCAAAGAAGAAAGCATTTCCACCAATGACAGCTTCCAGCTCCCATTAGTGTTTTTTGGACTTTTGGTTGTTTGTTTGTTTTTTTCACTCCTCAGTGAATGCCTCAGACCAGAAATCATCAAGGTTAGAGGCCTGTGAAAATCTTACACTCATCTCTCATATGACAGCAAGTTTCCTCACCCCCCAGAGATGGGATATGCAGCCAGTCATTGACCAAGCTCTTCAGAGGCATGTAGGAAAGGCAGCTCTTGACTCAGTGCTTTAAATCTCAGGACTCCTTCCTCCAAGTCGATGCAGCACTAAGAAGGGGAGAGCCAGTTACTCGCTGGACATTTCAGAGAGCAAGCACCTCTGTCTCATGATGTCTGTGACTGGAGGGGGAAGCTGGAAAATCACCAAACATCCCCCTTGGGATTTGGAGAGATCCCAATTTGGAGAGACCTCATAGTTCCCCCTCCCTGCCATATTTCTACCTCCTGGCTCTGATTCCCTCCATTGAATTCCTCTCCAAACCCTCCGCAGGGCCATCCTGCTCCCTTCCTCCAGTTTTACTCCCTCTAGGGCCATGTCCTCACATCACTCAGCTTTTCAGGCAATGCTTTTCCTGCTTTATGAGTCCCAGCATGTGGCTGCATATTTGGCAGTCAGATGCAAACTTGCTGGGACTATGTTCTGTTCTGCCCAGGAGACAAGCTGGTCACAGCAGTAAATCCAGCCTGAGCTGATAAAGTGAAAGGACTCTCTGCCCCCGTGTCCAGTCATTTTTCAACACTGGATGTGGCCATACAGCTTCATTCGGCTCAAAGCAAGGACAGTGCTTTTTCATGTCTACCTGCAAAAGGCAGTTAGAACTCTAGTGGCACATTGTTGCCTCTGTTTTACAGTCTCTTCTTCCTCAGTTTCATCTTCTCATTTCTAACCATTGGGATCAGTGACTCGAAGCATACTGCAGTGAGCCAGGGAGCTGTGCAGCAAGCAGTGCAGGTGGCACTTCAGAAGGCTTGAGCATGAGCATTTCAGATGCTTCCAGGAACCAAGCCTTGCAGGACTCATTGAGAGGAGCCCTGCGATAAACAAGAATGCTCCTTACCTTTAATGACAACAGGGTCTGGAGACCAAAGGAAAACTCAAGCATTTCATCATCTGGGAAAAGAGAGGAGGCTGGTCAGGAGACAATACTTTGACTGCCTCTCTAAAGACAGTGTCTCCCTCCTATAAGATTATGTGAGCATCTGATTCATTATCTGGTAAAGGATTATTCTGTATAAAGCAAATAACAAATAACAAGGAAAGTGAAGAGTTAAAGACATGGGTACATACATTAACAGGTGGTGATGACAGTGGCAATAGCAAAGACTAGAACTCTTCCATGACGGGTTGTTGAGCCGTTAAAGGAACAGCTCAAGCACAACCTTGAAGAGGGTCAATATGAATTTTGTAAGTGATAGGAAGAGAAAAACATGATCACAGTCAGTATTATGTTGTATTTGAGGAGGCTTATGGGTCTGTGTAAAACTTACTATGGGATATTGAAAAGGGCTTGTGGGATTGTGAGTTTAGGGGAAGAGCCAAAGCGGGGAAAGGGATGACCAAGGTGGATCAGGGAAGAACAAACATGGGAAAATGCAGAAAGGAGGGATAACAGAGTTGGTCAAATGTAAGCAGGCTGCAATCGGTTCACTTGTCTGGACTGAGTCCTGTGCCCAATCACTGCAGTCTATCCTGTCTTCTCAGTAAATTGTTTTCTTAGCTGTTTTTTTTTTTCCCCTGAGTAATCTCACTTTCTGTGAGAAGAGTGTGCATAAGTGAGTGTGCAAGGTCTATGTGCCAGCAGCTGAAGGGACTGGCATGCAAGAGTAGTTGTTGTGCCAATAACTGGAGGGACTGTAAGTCACAAGATCATATAATTTATAGGTCTAAGTGTTGGCAACTGGAGAAGGCACTGAAAGTCACAAGGACAGTTGATCTGGGTGCCAGCAGCTGGAGAAGGAGCCATAGGTCACAAGGCCCACAGGGTCATGAGTCAACAACTGGAGACACTTGGCTATATGTGTGAGAGGTCTAAATACCAGCAACTGGAAAGGCCTGGATGTGTTTACAATTTCCCAGTGAATTTAATGCTATGTGGGTGCATATGCATAATTTCCTACCAAACTTCAAGGTGGATTAGCTGGTGAGCAGGAGGACATCTGGAAAAACTCACAGCCTGAGCCAGCAGCTGGGTAGAAGTCCCAGTGTCAAAACGTGAATCTTAGGCAGAACAATAGATCATGCTAAGTTTTGAGGGATCTGTGAATGTGAGTGTTCTTGTGAATCTAGAGAACAAGTGTTCGTTTTTTGACAGTGAACTTCAATCCTGATCAGCAGAAAGAAGGAATGGGACTGAACTACCTGTGCTAGTGTTTATGTGAGTGCAGTTCATGCTTCTGAGAGTGCTTGTAAAGGCCCGTGATAGTGGGTAGTTTGTGTGGCGAGCCTCGTTAGTACCATCCATGTATGCACTTCTCAGGAATATACACTGGACCTTGCTACTGGCCAGACTTGCAAATTCAAACAGCAGCAGCCACAACCATTGGACTGGGATAGAGAGACCTCCTGGGTCTTAGATTGCACCCATCTGGATATTCAGTGTCCAGGAAAGAGAAATCCTCAGGTCCTGGGTCCTGCAGTGTTCTGCAGGCACCTGTAACATTCTTAATTTCTCCCACAGTTGCTGCATGCCCGCTTGACTTGTAACTGTTGTCTGTATTTTATTCCACATAAGCAAGAGAACCGTGTGTCAATTCTGAAACACAGACCTGGCAATTCTGCTTCTTCCAGGCAGCAATTTCCATATCTGAGCAGAATGCATAGGTGCTAAAATGATAAATGCCAGCCCTAAAGCAGTTTTCCCACAAAGGACACGAGCAAGTAGAGCGGGAATGATGGAAGGAGAGTGAGGGAAGGAGGAACTTCTCTCTAGATGTCCAGGAAACCAGGAAGAATGGACATGAAAGAGGTAGGGGAAAGGGAGTCCCTGAAGGTAAGAGAGTGAACAGTACTCATCAAAGATGAGATAGATAAAGGCAACAGGGATGGCTGGATTGGCTAATGGGAAGAAAGGACAGGAAAAAATAGGGCCAATAAGGTGTTTTCAGGATGCATAGAGTATGATGTAAATGCAGAAAATTCAGTCTGCTGTTCTCTGGGTCTGCTTCCGTGCCTTGTCTTCTGCAACTCTTTCCTCCAAAGTGTCCCACCTCAGGACATCTTGGGGATTCAGCAGTCCAGGTCTACCCTGTTCCTCTAGGGCTCTCCCTGCAGCAGGGGCACATGGGTACACAGAGAAACACTCTGGGGAATAAGCTGTACTCTCTGTCACTTCCTCTAGTGGCATGCAGCCAGCCCAGGGCACAGGAGAACACAGCACATCCAGAGGACTAATCAAGCAGTCTACAAAAGGTCAATTTTAAAAGCAAAATAGAATTTTCCACATGCTGGGTTACTACCAAAAAGCACCTAATTTCAACCCCCTTTTAGTGTCAGTCTCTCTTCTCTGTACACTTCCCACACTCTTTGCCTTTGGTTACGCTGAGGGAATTCACAGCACATGATAAGCTCTGTTAGCAGCACAGGTGACCACATCACCAACTTCCCACCACATTACTGTTTTTCTCACAGATTCATTTAAATGCCCTTGGCAGAGAGAAAGGGGCACAGGAAAGCTGGGAGAAAGCAAGGGTTGGCACTCTCACCTACAACCAGTGCTGAACACAGCAGTATCTCCTGGCCAACTTGCACCTCCAAGTGTTCTACTCGGCCAACAACGCTGGGGATGGGAAGAGAGAGATCTCCACAGTCCATGACAGACACTTCTTCAAGCCTGTGAGACACAAGAGTTGTTATGCCTCAACTGGAGGAAGAGGATGAGAAGGAAGAGGATGGAGGAGAGGAAGAGAATTCTCATCAATTTCCAGCATGCCTTTGTCTCATTGGGAAGAGACTCAGAAGAGGAGGAACCTCATTCATACAGCAGTGACGTCTGGAGGCAGATTCCACAAGGCAAACCATAAGGCACTATCCAGCTGAGTTTCTCACGTCATCTGGTGATCATCAGCTGGTCCTCCCTGTCATGCACTACACACAGCAAGAATAAAACAACTCTGGGGAGTTGTTCTAGCCTGGGGATGACACACAACTTTTCCAGTGCCTCTGATGCCTGCCCTGTAGCCCATCCTCTGCATCTTGTTCTAAACAGTCATGTGCACATGCAAAGCTTAGAGACAATATCACTGGCATGGGGAATCAATGCAAGGATATGATTTGGAAATCAAGAGTGGAATCTCAGTGCCCAGGTCTTTGCCATAGGGTTTTTTTTTTGCTTTTATTTATTTATTAATCTATCTGTCCTCTCCTGCTGTGCAAAGACTTACCCCAGCTGTTTTAAACAGCTCTTGGAGATGAGATTTGGTAGACATCCTGTGTTAACAGTTGCTTTCAATACCTGACCTTGGCACTAGGAAAAAAACACATAACAGATTATTACACTCTCAGAGCTGACATTACCCACTCCTCCAATATTGTGACAAGCCCTTTCATCTTGCGTAGCAGGCAGTAGTCAGATGGCAAGAGATCCAAGTCAATGTGGCTCCCAGATGCAAACTACTGCTAAAGACTTCCTTTTGAATTGCTTGTCTTCTTTAAATTTTATTGGAATGCCTAGACATCTGTCCATTATTAGTAAGTTAAATCTAGCAGTATTCTATTCAAAAGATGCATAACTGGTGATTTTTTTCAGGAAACTCATATGGACATTATTAGTAGAACAATAATTGATAAGAAGAAATACAAGCATCCACTTCAGCCTTTACATGTTTCCTCTCTCCATTTTCTCTAGCGTTACAGGACAAAATGTTCCAGGGCTAAATATCTGCTCTGAGTACTTTGGGCTTCCAGATTCCAGAAGGAGGAGTCTGTGGGAGAAGTAGGAGCATTCTGGACAAGCATCCTTGAGAAAAACTTTAAAGCAGTTCCCCAGGTGACTGGCTTATCCAAATGATCCCAAATCTGAATGACTACCCAAACAGGCAGTGTCTCCTTTTGTGTGGGACTTCTAGTGAATTCCTAGATTGATAGGAATACTGCAGTATAGTATTCACAACTAGTGTCATCTAGAGAAGTGAGAGAAAGACAAAACCCTGCACACTGAACCAAAGTCACCATTGTATGATCATTCTGGAAGAAAGCCTTGCCCACTTCATCTCTTCACACCTCTTCCCCTGAAAGGGAACAATAGATGCTGTTACAACCTGTTTTCTGTCCCTTCTGCGCAGAGGACCTTAGTGACAAGCCAGAGATGCTGAAGTAACAGCAGCTCTCACATATTGTAAGTGCCTGATCCTTAGAAAACTTAGAAAATACTTAGAAAATAAAGTTGGGAACTTAGAAAAGAAACTGTAAAACATGGAGTAACTCCCAACTAAGCAATATGTTTTGCACCCACCAATAGTGCATACCCATCTTTGAAGGTCTGCTTCTTCAAGACTGTCTTACAGAAACACTAAACTGAACCTGGACTTTCTGTCTTTGGAGGTTCATTTTCCTTCTGCTGTCATTATTATTTGCCTGTGATTCCTTCTCTTTTTTCCACTGGGGAAGCCAGTGCTCTGGGCTAGTCACAAAAAGCAGAATGTTACCACAGCTCCCCTACCCTTATGCTCACTCCCACCCAAAGCTTAAGTACTTTAAACAGTGCAAGCAGATCAGTGTGGCCATCAGGGACTTGGAGCACAGCATTAGTCAAGGAAAATGTCTCTATTTCCTGATTTCTTAAATAATTTTATGATTTTTACATGGATTAATCAAGGAGAGCAAACAATACTTACAATACTTCATTTTCAAAAATATGTCAGTTGTGAGTTGTTATAAAAGAAAAAGGAGAAAGCAGCTCCTGTGAGAAATAATAGACTCATGCAGAGATTACACCATTAGTAGCTTGAACACTAATTGCCTCGAAGGCAGCCTTTAACAGTACATGCTGGAAACTTCAAGTCTATTATTTTGCCTGGAAGCTTTTTCTCTGATCTAAACTCCAAGGCACATCTGAAGTATATCAGTGTAGAGAAATTTACCTTTCTAAGCATTTAAGTACATCACATTCTTAGAAGAACCATTTAGCTGAGAAATTTGTCACACTTACAATTGCATGACCACTGGAACTAGACATGCAACACATCTATATGATGCATATTCAAAGAACATTAGTGGATAAGCATTTACCACATGTGGCCACATCTGTGAAAAAGGGGAGAAGTGTCCAGCTGAATCTACACAGATGTATATTTTCAACAGTTCCTAATTTATTTATTTTAGTTTGATGGTCTTTGTTTGTTTTTAATTTGCAAAAGTTTGTTTTACTCCTAAAGAATTATGTTCAGATCGAGCTTCCACTTGGGAACAAAAGTCATGAAGATTTCAAGGCCGTAAGAACAGTTCACCACATTATCTCAATGGAGAGTGAAGAATGGGATGAAACACTCTACTTCTTTCCTGCTTATAGCACCCAAAAACAATTATCACCTCTCACAGTATTTCTGCAATGTTTTTCTTTTTCAGTTTGATTTACTACACTAAGTTAGCTAATAATCCCATGTGTCTGTAAATATTTATGATTCCTTAAAATGCCCAAGTAAGGCAGGTATAGTATTAAACAATTTAGCATGGTCAAAGCCAAGGCGGTACTCCCAAACTTCTCACTGCCAGCCTTCCCCATTACATTATGCCTGTCTCATAGTCTCAGCCACACTGGCAGCTATGTTCTCAACCACTGTTTGCATCTGGAATACTACTCTTTAGCACATTATATAGAAATTTCCAGAGTTTAGGCCATGTCCTGTTTCTAATAACAATTACACTGCAGTCAGCAGTAAGCAATTCTCCAGAAGGTCCCCACTTGTCCATCTATTTAAAATGAATCTACTGCCTATGGGTTCTATTTCTGGCTGTTCCACCACTTATAGATGAGCTTTCTGGAGTTCCCACGTGGAACATAACCATGAAAACCAGCAAGACTGAAGAGAGCTTATCTTCCTTGTATACTAGAAGATTCCAGTGTGGCAAACTGACTTGCCCTTAAATTGGATGGAGAAGGAGAGAAACATCTCTGACAAAAGGTACTGAGTTCAGGGAGAGTTAAGTGCACATTAGACCTATTACCTTGTCTGTAATGTCCAGCAAGCCCTCCTCTATGAAGGAAAATGAAATGTGTAGGAGAGCTGGGGTACAGCCTGTTAGAAACACAAAATGGGAATAAGTAGTAGGTTCTGATCCTAAGTTAATTACTGCCCTTGGTATATTATACCTATGCTTGGCTATCTTTATGTAATGCACATGCCTAGAAAAAGCACCCCCTTACCATTGAGTTTCCTCTTCATGAGAAATATAGAAGGTTGATTAAAAAAAAAGAAATACCTTGATTTACTCAAAGAAGACTCTGGGTACCTACAGAAACCTACCCAGAGGTACCTACTGAGATCAATCCTGCAAGTCGGTTTTCCTCAGTGCAGTTATGCTGGCCTAACTACAGAAAGGGTTAAAACCCAGGATAAGCAATGCTTGTCTCCAACAGTAAGGCTGGAAAACAAACCAGTCAATGGATTTGCATGATCCTGAAAGACTTGATCTGAACATGTCGGAATCTTTCCAGCAGGCTAGTGCCACCTGAATTTTCAAAGGCAGATATATTTTTGTTTCAAGTGTAGGCTTTGCACTGTAACATGAGAAGTTTTATAGGCCAGGTTACTGATACAAATACAGCTGTATAAACATATGGATTTTTGGTGAATCTAATATCTTCATATTACTGAAGAGCTCTAACTGTGCAGTACTGAAAGCCATTTAATGGGGCCCAGCCACTGGAATTGCTTTGTTATATGCAAAGGCCAAAGAGGAGTGTGTTCTGCCATATAGGATAAAGTAAGAGGAAAAGAAAAAAAGAAATATAAGAGAAAAAATACTGCTCCCATGGAGGAAACAAAAGAGTGTTATCCCAGAACACTGCTAGCCATTTTCTTAGGAGGTTCTGAAGAATCAGACCAGGCAGGATCAGTCTGAGTAAATCATCTAGAGCAGTACCTGCCTTGAAGTGATAAGACGCTGTTTGCTCTTGCATGCTTCTGTATTTGCTTTCAAGTGCATGGAACACCTCTTCTCATGGGAATGCTTATTTCCAAAGGAAGGAGAAGTAATGAGGTTAATTTATCTTCAAATACATGGACAGCTAGAATTTGATAGAAAGGCTTTTCTCTGTTGGATAAACCTAATCCAAACTATAGGACAGGCCATGTGGAAAAACTACTGTCTCCAGTAGCAGAAGAGTGGCCCAGCTGGCATTGCAAATAATAACTGGAATGTCACTTGCAAATGGAGCAGCTGGAACTAATTGAATATTTGCCATCACTATGAAATCAGCAGCACCATGTTGTTGCCTTACCTGACACTGTATTAGCAGGTGTGGAGTCTCTTTTCTCCTGTCCTCTCCCCTTTCCTTCTCTTCATCTCGGTCTTTTGCCAGCGGTGACTGAACCCATGCAGACTGAACCCTTGTCTCGCCCCGCAGCTTGGTCAGGTTGCCTTCCAAGAGGCGCCGCTGGACCACACTATGTGGCTGCTGTCTCCACCAGAAAGAAAGAGAAATCCCAGCTAAGTATGAACCTGAGGACTGCGATATTTGCTAGCCCAGGGAATCAGCCTGCAAATGACCACCTGATGTAGGACATGACTATCCCAAGAATTTTTTTTTAAACCCTGAATATTTTCGGCAGCCTCTGAGATTATGTTAAAGTTCTGTAGCAGGCAGGTCTCTGGAGAGGAAGTACATGTCTGCTGCATGCTTGCCACCCACATAGCCGTTCTTTCCGCCAAACATACAGTCAGCAGTCTCATATTTGTCCAGGTACTGCAATATGCCACCTGATGTATATGTGCCAACACCTAACCACAGTCATAACTTCAAAGGAGTCAGGGTGGGTGGATGATGTACATATAGGTAAAAAAGCATGGATCTGGAAACTTTAGGTATACAAGGAATTATTTGGAGTGAAGCAGAATGTTTCCCCTGCATAGGAAACTAAACCCAGCTTCTAATAATCTTCCGAGCTTGTTTCTGCTCCCCTCGATCAAGAATGCTACTTCCTAATAGGAGGTCCATCTGTGAAGACCCATATTTTACACTGCTGGAAGGAAGCCTCATCAGCCAGACAACTTGTTAAAGATTCGGCTTTATTCCGGTCACATTTAACAGTAAGAATTTCTTCTCCCTTCTAGGCAGAAGAAGGGAAGGTGCACCAAAAGAGAAGAAAATAGAGAAAATCTGCTTGCAATCATAGTGCATATATTTGCACATCACATAAAATTATTGCTTTGGAAAGAAAGCTCATCATCATTTGATCACCATCGTTTGGAAAGAAAAGATCATCAGACTGATGCTCGAGTTCTTATCCAATGTTGATTCTGTTCCTTCAGATCCTGCACAGCTAACTGATTCAGTAAGGAGCACCATAAATGAATTAGGCCTGTTGGAGGTAGCTCGGTCTGTTCTCCAAGCACTGTACCCTATGGCCTTTCTGCAGGAGCTGACAATAAGGTTTTCAGTAACAGCTGCATATTAGGTGAAGGGGCTAACGCATGACAGCATAAACAGTTGTTCTTATCTTCCTCAAAAAAAATTACTATATGATGCACAAGATTGGTGTAATAGTTTATCAATGTGCAGGGAATGTGAGTTAGAAATGTGAGTTAGAATAGATTAGCAATGAGCTGGGCTATCATAATCCTACGGCGTGTGTAAGCTTTTGACCAGCTGTATGGTTGATCTGAATGCTGAGGTCAAGGAAGTGATTACAACCTTAAGCACACTGACTTACCAGTCTTGCCCAATGGTTGGAGCAGCTCCATATTATAGACTCTCTGGTCATACCGAGCATGCCTCTGAGCAAGGTGCTAAGTCTCTTGTGCCTCTATTTTCCCATCACTCACGGGATAAGAGTCCAATCATCCACGTTCTACATGAGAGACACTTGAGGAGTTGAAAAAGCGAGGCAAAAATATCCTTCTGCCCCTGTGGCCTAGTCCTTTCCCAGTCCACTGCACAAGTCCAAAGGACAGCTGGCTGTTTGACTTTGCTCCCTAAATACTCTGAGCACAGTGCCAGTTCAGTTGCCAGCTAACATCTGGGCATGGAAAAAAAGTTGTGAGCTGACAGCAGGTCTCCAAATTCTCATCCTCCCTCCACTGTCTCCTCTCACAGTCTGGTATGCAGATGACATGACTCTCCCTGCAACCTTTCCCATAGAAAGATCAAGCCCTTTGAAACTGCCATCTCTGTCCATTTTCATCACTTGGGCTGGGAAGAGCTGTGCTCAGGGACTGTGAGGGCATCGGTTCAAAGAGCAGCCTTCTGGGGCCTTCCTTGTCTTTATCTCACCAAATAAAGTGAAGAAAATGGAGAACGTTGTCTGTCTTTGGCTGATAGGAAATAGTGAGATGAAGAGGATAGTGAGAGGAGACCTGATTGGAGTTGCAGCAGGCAGTGGAGAGTCCCTCCGAGGACTTCTGAAAATGTCAGAGCAAGTTCCCAGCACAACATGTCGTGTTTAGATTCTCCCACGTAAAGTGTCAAGGCATTGTGACTCACTGAAATGGTATGAGCTAAGGATCTTGATTTTGGGTGCAGAATAAGTCAGTTCTCTGGGTCTTCATGTTAATTTCAGAATATTTTAGTTCATGCAGCTACTTTTTTTCTTCACCCTTAAAAAAAAAAACTTACACTTTTGGTTGTAAGAAAGCAGAAAATGTGAGTTATTCCCTGAAATGTCTAATTCTTCATTGTTGGGAATGCGCTGAGCCCATAAAATCCTTGAATGCATTGCATAAGCTGAATGTACAACCTGAATATGCAGAAAATGGCGGCAAAAAGTAACAGCCTGACTTTGATTGTGTAAGAAAAGATATTGTTTATGAAATGACACTCAGAATAATCACACACTAAGCTTAAAACATACTGGGCTGCCAAGGTGGGATTCTGTGGTACCTAATCTGCCAGTGCAGACATGGTTGGAGGAATTAATAAACTCTCCTCCCTTGCAAGTGCTATTGAACCCTGGGATGTTCTGCACTGTGCCCAAGAACAACCTCTCCAGTAATTCCTACTGCTGTTCTGCTTTCCTGTCATCTCAGACGAAGCAGTAATAAATTAGGAAATACAGATAGGGTTTTTCATGGACCTGGAGGACTGCCTGAGAGCACATTTTGTACTGTTGTCTGTCAAGGACTTGCTGGCTTTTGTTATCAGTATAGTCCAAGAGAGCTTCCACTGCTTTTTATCATTCCTACAGGACATGCCAGGGCCATGGCAGAACTAGACCAACATAAGGGCTCAGTTCTATTTCCTTTCCTGAAACAGGTATGTCACCTTGGACAATGTTCTTTGGTTCCACATTCTCTCTGTAAAATGGGGACAAAATATTAATCTTTCTTATAAAGCCTAAAGACATCAACATACACAGTTGCTTTCTGATTTGCATTGCCCCAAATGTCACAGTAATATTACAGTGGCCCATAAAGTAACAGGGACTGCTTAATGCAGCACATCCTTTTTGGAAATCTGAGGTCTGGTTCGTCTCTTGTTCCAAAAAAAATAGAAATTGAGGTACCGGAGCTCCCACATTCACCCCTGGTATTGTACTATGTGTGTGATGCTTTGTTTTGTGCCTTCTGACACTGGTGCAAAATTTCCATGGCCAAAAAAAAAGATGCTATACTTCACTCATTGTTCCTTAGCTCCATGATAATAAGCTTTCAGTCATTCTTTTATGGAGCATGCGTGACATAGACTATGATTCTGAGGGACCAAACACTGTTTACATATAAAGAATTTATTTTTAAAAAATGAATCTGTAGAACTGTTCATAACAGAAGATTCTGATAACGCTTCTCAGACTGCTCAAGAACACTGATTGTCAGCTTCTTAAGGCCAAAGACTGTGATCTGTAATATACAGGAGTTGCGGTACAAAAAGGCCTCAAAATGTACAAAGGCCTTCAGCTGGCACAACAGTTTCATTTTGGAGGCATGGTATGATAGGAGTCAATATCAAAGCAAAGCAAGCAGTATTATTTCTCTCTAGATTTGTGACTATGCTCAGAAATCACACAAAGACCAAAAGGTGCCCTACCTGCTGAAAACTCTACATCTACAAGCCCTGGACTATGTCTGAATATCTACTCCCCAAGCCAAATTTTTCATTGCATGAAGGTCAGTGCTGGTCTATCTGCCAGTCTGGATGGACTCTTTCACACTCAGATTTAGTCTGACCTACTTCCCTGCAGTGCAGAGATTTCCAAAGAGGTCTGCTCCTTTCTAGCAGGCCATGTTTACAGCTTCCCTGTTAGACTTCAGGCAGTGACTGCACTTTGCCCCAGGGGGACACAGACAACTAGTCTCTGCTGAAAGTTTTGCATGCTGTTGGCAAGAACTGGGAGATCATGGGGTGAAGTCACTTTGAGGAGGAACCCTTTGAAGCTTTGAAGAGTCACCCTTGTCCCTGTGTGACCAAGGAATTTCCACCCTAGATGGGGCCGCTCTGGGGAGAGTGGGCCGGGAGCAGGAGAGTGTGCAGTCACGGACACCTAGGGCCCTAAGCTGTTCAAGCAAAACCGCTAAGTCCCACAGGTTTCAGGAAGAAGCAAAGAGGGTAATTTCCATTCAGGCCGAAATGCCTGGAACCTGCCTGTCCTTCTAATTTGTGCTGCAGCATAAAGCAGTGCCTGGCTGCAGGCAACAGTGAGGCCTGCAAAGGGAGCAAAGAAAGTGGAAGCAAAATGGCCTAAGCCAGATACACGCACACAAGAAACCTTGTTGTTGTTGTTGTTGTGATGATCTAAAGCTACAGAAGGAAGTGCTGCTTATAGAGAGGGGCAATATCTTTCACGACACATCTGGAATAAATGGTTGAGCTTTTGGCCACAGAGGCTGCCCCTGATCTCGCCTAGCCCCAGCTGATGGGCCCACGGTGCTGCTTAAGATACATCTGTGCCCCCTGCACTCACCAGGAGGATGCCTCTGAATCACTTGTCCTTGGTTTATTGGCCCACATTTAAAGATAAGGAACTTTTATTAGAGCAGCAACACAGTGCAGTGCAGATTGCGCAGAAGAGAGCCTGAGGCATTCATACTGTCTTTTGAGAAAAGAGTTTAAACCATCCCATCCTTGAGAAGTTATACACCACAGTGGAGAGAAGGTAGAGGTAAAAAATGCCAGAATATATAACGAATAGGGAGATGTGTCCAGCAAGAAACTCCACAAGAAATGGTTGCCTGTCTTGTCATGTGTCCTTGGTAAAGTCTGTCCTGAGCACAGATTCTCCCCAGATTTCTGGATCGAATCCCCTGCCTGATGCTGCCTGCACAGCATTTCCACAGGGAAACACCCATGGACCTTATTTCCATGCCTTCTCCCCAGAGATGTCACCAATAGGTGCTGAAGACTACTGTTACTAGCACTACACAGCTAGAAGTCCCGTCCTGTACTTATCCTTCTGGAAACAGGTAAAAGAAAACTTGAAGACTAGGGGAAAGGAGAATAATCAAGGTCAAACATAAGCCCTTCAAAGTTTCAGGAACTGTCCCTCCCTTCCTGCTCCTTCACACTGAGTGAAGGAAGAAGGGGATCTGCTTTTGACCTGTATCTTGCAGGAGTATGTGTGGGCTTTCAGAGGTGTCCCACATGGAAATATACATATCAGATGAATGTATTTATGCACTGTGCAAGTTGAAAGTTAGATCCTTCCACTCCCTGTCCACCTGCCTCTGTGCTTAGGCCCTGTGGGAAAGCATAGTCATGCAAAAAATGGGAGACTTGTCCTTTCCTTTTCCCCATACCTGTTCCAAAATGGTGCTGAGGTGCAGTTTTTTCTTTGCTGGACCTGTGACTCTTTGCCAAACCTGAGGGGAATTATGAATGCTATCTGGCAGCGGGGAATGTTAGGATGTGGACCCACTCCCAAATGGGATCCCTTTGAACTCACCAGATCCTTGGAGGTACCAAGCCTCATCAAACCATCCAGGGGAAGCAGGTCAGCAGAGTCCTTGTGCACAAATTGTGTGGCCTGTTTAAGGCGCCTTTTTTGTTGCAGAATAGCTTTGTTCCTCAGCTCCAGCTCACACTCCTGTGGCTCCATGTCTGGAGTGCCCTCAGTCTCCTTCTCCTCGCTTCCTCCTTGTCCCTGTGTTAGAGGGCAGCTCTTCCGTGTGCTCATGGTGTTGACTCGGGCAGAACAGCTCCCTCCTGAGATGATGGGGCGCACTTTTCTCCAGATGCTTGCCCTCCTGAGGCTGACTCAGTCACTGAGCTTCTTTCCCACGGCACTCCTTCTCTCCTTTCTCTGCCTTTCTTCCTGCTGTCTTAATTATAACTCATCCATCTCGGAAGCATCTCTTTTTCTCTCACTGTTCTCTCCAGCATCCCAGCTTCCCGCTGCTCCAGTCCTTTTCCCCTCCCTCTCTTCTCCTGCCCTGACTGCAGCTCTGCCTCCTCCAGTCAGTAGGTCCCTGTCGTAACAGAAAAAAGCCCTACGTCAGAAACCAATTTCCATAAATTACAGCAGTGCCGGCAGGATGCTCTGGCTGGAAAAATCCAGCAGCAGAAGGATGGCCCTGCTGCTGGGGGCTGGAGCTACCTCCCTCTGTCTGTGCGTCTGTGCATGTGTATGTGTGTGAGAGTGAGTGTGTGTGCACGAACACTGCCGTGTCCCCGCCGTTACACTGAAGAGACAGTGAATCTCGCTGTTGCAGGCTCTGTGGTTCAGTATCTCTGCTGGGGGCTTTGATGCGTTTCGATAAGACTGTAAATACTGGCAAGAACATTTAGAAGATGATGCAGTGCTTTGGTAAATGGGAGAGAACGTTTGCTTCAAGGTTTCTGGTAGGCATGCCCGGTCTCATTTCCGTGGAGGGTGGCGCATATTTGGGATAGGCTGCACTGAAAAATCTTACTGTGCAGCTTGAAATGCCGAAGGCCTGCTTTTTTTTTTTCCTGATCAGTCTAGGCCTGACTCTGCTCTTACTTCCATTCTAAAGTAACTGCCCTGAAGCTGTACGAGTTTAAAATCACTGTTTGGCTTGTAGATAACAGTGGCCTTGGCTCTCCAAGTTTACACTGGAAGTATTCAGAAATTGCTGTAGCATGGGAGGTATCCTGTGGTCTAGCTCAGGGGAAAGGGGCCATGGCAGAGCTGCCTTTTTCAACTTGCTGCCTTCACAAAACCCTTTGCTTGAAACCATAGGTGAAGCTTGCTTTGTTTTGATATCTTTTTCTTGTTGAATGCAGCACCTCGGAAGGCACCAATTCTGATGTTATGTACAGAGAGGGGTACTGAGTTTTAATCAACTGTTCCCCTGAGGACAAATAAGCTCTACATAAATGACAGCTGGCTTGAGTAAACAGGGGGTGAAATCACTTTGATGTATGTACACAGAAGAAATAACAGCAGCAAAATATGAAAGTTAAAGCAAAAGGAGGCTTTCTATTGCTCCATAGTTATTATATTTTTTCCAGCTTAGTAATATGTAACATTCCAACATTACTCATCAAACTTACTTCCTCTGTTCCAAACTGTATTTAAAATATAGCAATGAGTTTACAATACTAGGAAGTAAACTGAATAGTCCGTGCCTCTATAAGCCAGCCACTCTGAGACTTCACAGGGGTGGCAGAAACAGCAAAATGAGTTAGCCGGGTTCAGTGCAAAGTAAAATGATTCCCTGCTAATCATCACAAAATGAGTAGAGTTGGGAGTTGATCCTCAAACAATATAAATGTGGCATCTCAATTTCAGAGCAATTTTATAATTTGAACTGCTTAATCTTTCTTCCCCCATATGCTAACTGCTTCAGACAGAGCATCATGGTTCCCACAGCACTAAATTGCGGAATTAGATTTGAAAGGTTAGAAATAGATTCCAGCTGCTTCACATGGCCAACCCCCTACATCCTAACGCAGGCAGAGTCCCTTCGAGCTCGCTAGAGCTGTTCTTTATCTGCTCTTGTGTCTCTGCAAAGAGAGCAAGCAGGGGAAGGGGAGGGCAGGGAGGGAGGGGGAAAGGGAGAAGGGGATAGCAGAAGGGGTAGGGAAGGAAAGGGTATTCCCAGGGAAACCACATTCCCATGGTGTTGTGTGTTTGTACCTCACCAAGTGCCAGGGCCCTCCCCACAAGCCAGAGCAAACAACCCCTCCACACAAAGTGAGGTCCACTCCACCCTGCTGTTGTCTGTAGCAGGGCTTTATACCAGTGCAGGTGGGCATGCACTGAGGAGCAGCCCTCATTGGCTACAGGCTCCCAGCTGATTGGTTCTCCTCCAGGTGTTCGGTCGCTAGGCGTCGGTCCAGTTCCCCACAAACTCCACTTTCCTATATATTCTTACTAAGGCCCCAACATCTCCCCCTCTTTTTTCCAAAAAAGAAAAATTAGCAATAAACATTGCAACATTTACAAAAAACAAAGTAACATGGCTGTAATCCTCAGCATTTCCCCTCTTTTTACAAAAAACAAAAATTGGCAATATCATGCATCAAATATTACAAATAAAAACA